ATATGCACTTTAAATATGGCAGCTGAGCATTTAGAGCTTTGCTCGTTCTGCTCTGCGGGATCCCAGGGGATGTTAGTCACAGGGGTGGGTCGGACTCGAGCTTGAGATGACACGGCAGGGAGGCAGAAAACTCGGAAGAGAACAGGTCTTACCCCGTCCTCATCTTCAGCTTCCTTATGTCAGTGGTTCAAGGTGCGTGTGTGTGTGCGTTTAATATAGCCATAATTACAGGGAATGTAACATCTTATTGATTCATAGACTTTTATGGATGTGTGCATGCGGTTTCTACTAACTGCTAGTTGTTCAGATGAAAGTAATTTGATAAAAAATTTTGGCCTGTAATCAGTGTCATTTATACTAGTAATGGCAGCCCCTAAATAAACGTAGTTAGTTCAGCCTATTACATGGAAATGTTGTCCAGCCTTGTGCTTTGGTCATTCCCTGGTTTATTTTGAATCTTTCTCATATTCCTACGTCACCTTGTTGGTTATGAGTGGAATTGATCTAAGTACCAGTACTTGTGTTTATGCGATGCAGTATTCTGTCTTTGTGTGAGTGACAACTGGGAAAAAAAGTGGAATTTATTTCATCTAATTTTAGCAGCCTGCAAGGTGGCTTGTAGGTAGACTGCCTCTTAACCAGCAGAGACGGGCACAGTCGGAGGGTGCCGTGTCCTGTTTGCAGCGCCTGTCTCCTGGCCACCGCCAGGATCCGGCCACCTGGTCTGAGCTGTCTAAGGTGAGAGGATCCGTCCCGTCCACTGGGAACAATTGTGTTTAACAGTATAGCTGCACCGATCCAAAAAACCTGTAGCAAAGAGACTGCGTCGTTGGAAGAATGTAAAATACCTAAGTGCAGCTTGACTGTAATGTAGAAATCCAGCTGCCTGCTGGTATATGATTTAATTTTCAGTGCAGTTTAGTTGCAGGTTGTTTTTTTTTTTCTTAATCTTAAGACTCATCTATATTTTTAATACATTTAAAATAACGCAATAACCACGTTGCGTGCCGCTTCTCCTAACATCACTTCCATTTCCCCAAAGCGTTCAGGTGTCGTTATTGCAAGGCAGGAGGCAGAGCATCTCGGCTGCTGGCACTGTCGGGCTTTGGCAGGCAGCGCATGTTGTCTGGGTAAAAAGAAGACTGAGGGAATTTAATATTGTAGCATCTATAAAAAATGGGAGCACTTTATTAAGCGAGACTGTGTAAAGCTTTCTTATGGATGGAATGTACATTAATACATTTTATTGTTCCATCTAAGCAGATCAAATGATAAGCATAGTGTCACATACACGTTTGTGACTGTTCTGTTAAATAGGTTTTAATACTTAATGTTTTTATTCTCATCCGTTTCAAAGCAGCAATTATTTCCAAGAATAAAGATAATTAAATTTGTCTCGATGCTCTCAGGATTAAAGGGGGAAGAGCTGTATTTTAAGGTGTATGACAATAGGTGAGGAGGTCTGCTCTGATGTGCCATTCGAAGTCCGGCAGCGCAGTAGCCGGTCCCGTACCGCTCCTGCACATATTGCCAATGAGCCTGGTAAGAGTTTTGGCGGCGGTAGAAAGTGTTGCCTGTTGATGACATTTCAGAGGCACGCTCAGAAACGATGCCAGGAGCGAATCCGGCGGCTGGTTTGGCATGGGGGGGTAGGTGGGGAGGGGGAGAGAGCTGTAATCCATCTCAGCTGGGTGTGCGCGGGGTTTTTCTCCTGGCTCGGCTCTCGCACGCACGCTCGCTCGCGGGGACATGTGACTTTTGGCCGTACTAGCAGGTTTATCCAAGCCTATCTGACTAAC